CATTTTTATTTTGTAAAATTATTGTAAACAAAAGGACAATAAACGCAAAAATTATGTTACAACATTATGGACTATTGGACTTGTATACTCCTCCAAATATCTACGCACTTCGTTTTAATTTATTTGATCTATTTTGCCTTGACAGAGAGTATAAGTAAATAAAATTTTTGGATCTTAGGATTTTAAATTAAAAATATATCAAATGTATTAAAATGACTTCTAAATCTGTGGTCTTGAACATGTTATGTGGAAAGTTAAAATTAAAGGATTACAGAAAAAATCTATTTTTTTTAAATGAACAAAAAAGAAGAATAAGCTAAACAGATTGAAACGGGAGAAAACATTTGGGAGTTTCCTTATATCATACACTCCTTCCATCCATTTTAACTATCATTTTAGCTTCTTCTTTTTTTAACGTTTATTAAGAAAAATAATAATAATAAAATATATATATAGTTACCAAGTTATCCTGATTTAAATATAAGTAGAGTATTTTTTTTTCCTCTTAAATATTGTGCATACTTTTTAATATATAGGGTATAATTAAAAGTAATTATTAACTTTAATCTTAAATTTCTAAAATGATAATTATTTTAAGATATATTTTTTGAGATAAAATGATCAATCAATTTGACACAGTACATTTCCCACTTCAATTCTTGACTATCCATGCAATAATAAAAGATGATAAATTAGGGTGGCATGTTGCCTTATATATCCTTTTTCCATTTTTTTCGAACCTAATACCCGCATAATAATATAGTAAAACTAAGGTGACATCAAATTAGGCGAAATTGACCTATGGTGTTTGGTCGAAGTTTTAGTAGGTAAACACTCTCTTTTTATATAATCAATACTTTAGATTTCCCTTTTTCATATGATTTCATCTCAAGCTTTTATCATCAACTTTAACATTAAATCACTATTTATAAATATATATATCCAATCTGAATTCTAGCATCTACTTCTTAAATGATGTCGAATAATAGTGCTTGCGTTGCTAATTATAAAATGTGACACGTAGAGCACATGTAAGGCACATTACTTTATTTGTTATAAAATTTATAACAAAAAAATAAGACAAAAAAATAACAAAATGGACCACCATCTAATGTCACTTTTGCTATTTTTCAGAAAGAAATGGGTCATCATAAATTCTATCACACCTACCATACACTAAATGTAGGATTTAAAGGCACCACCTTACCCTCATCAATCTCTGCATCTTGGGATAAGAAAAAATAGGTAAGAATTTATTTGAGTTTGGTATTTGGATCAAATTATCCTATTTTTAGTTTATAATTAAATAATTTCTCCATTCATTTTTATTGGTACACTATTTTAAAAATAAATATACATTTTTACTTATTATTTTTAATATATCAAGAAAAGATATAAGAGAATTCATGTTAGTTGCTTATTCTTCAAATGATTTTTCCAAAGACTTAATACTCCATTTAATTCATATTAATTGACTTGTTGAGATTTTTTTATTTATTCAAAATAAGTGAATATTCAAAGTTCAAAAAAAATTGTTGAAACTTTTTTTTTTCATTTCATATTTATCCTTCATTTAGTGAGGTTCTTAACTAATTTACGTTTTCTAGGAGACTAGTTTGAAAATAATCAAAAGAATAATAGTGAAAAATAGTCTTTAATTTATCTCCTTAAATATTTTTCTTAAGGAGTGTGTTATATCCCCAATAATTCACTTAATATGGACTAGAGGGAATACTCAAATCAATTACTAATAGGGATAGTGTGGTAAAATAATCATGTCAATTGTTGTTTTCTTAATTGGTGTGCCAAATATAAATGTGATAAATAAAAGTGAATAAAACAATAAAAATAAAAATTGAAATATATATTAATTAATTATAATTTGTCTAGTTTCCTATTATTATTATTATTATTATTATTATCTTATTATTATTATTATATTATTATTATTATTATTATTATTATTATTACTATTACTATTACTATTATTATTATTATTATTATTACTAGTATTATTATTACTATTACTAGTATTATTATTATTATTATTATTATTTTCTATACGATTCTCTTATTATTGTATTTTTAATTGATTGTTGTTATGCTTTATTTAAATAAAAAATTTATGAGAGACAACCTCTTTACTTTTATTAGGTATCAATAAAACTACATTTTTTTTTTCAAACTCTACTAATAAGATTCAATATATTATCCTTTCAATAATATTGGCTTCTTCCCATTGTTTGTGTCCTAAATTTCAAGTTTTGTTTCCCAAGCTAGCTACTTCTTATTAAATGCTAACCCCACATTTCAGATTGTTCTCATTCAATGCAAAATTTATTGTTTTTTGTCCTCCTTAATTGCATGGTCAAGTGACGTGCTTTTCTCTCTCGTTTATACGTAGAGGCGTATTCAAAATCTCGAAAAAATGAATGTATCGTTATAAAAAAATGAATTTAAATTGTTATAAAAAATGAATTTTAAGATAAAAATTTGATTGATTTAATTTTTAATTTCATCACTGAACTTAAAATTTTCTTTTAATTTTCCAATAGAACAAACTTAAAAATTTGAAAGATTAAAGCTAAAATAAATAATAATAATAAAAATAACCAAAAATGCTATCAATAACTACTTAAAGAGGTATAATCCAATTTTAGAAGAAAAAAAGAAGAAGAAGATAGATATAAGATTTAAGTATCTAACCTCATTTAAAGAGGTGTATCCAATCATCCTGACATTATATGATACTTCAAGCATGGATTCACATCAATCCGGAGAACTCTCCCTAAATACGCCTCTGTCTGTGGTTTGTACATATATGACCAAAACACACTTGTGTGAGAAATATTTATTCATTTTCGATATTTACTAATTTACAGTCAAATTGGACGTGATTTGAAATTAAGTTGATTTGAAATTAAAATTTTTCTTGGTTATATCATTTGATTTCTTATTTTATTTTTTCCAATACAACAACGATAATATATTAACTGAACTATCATTAGTAGGGTCTGAACAAAACAACATATACATAAATCTTATTTTTATTTTGTGAAGATAGAGGGATTGTTTATGAAGAATCCTTGATTCAAATATAGCAAATTAAATTATTAATGAAAAAAGTAACAGTGAAGGAAACATGAAAACAAAAAGGAAAAAATATAGAACATTCGGAAAAGGAACGATAACACAACAACAACATAGTACGATCACAAACACAATAAACAATTGATGATATAACAAAAGCAAGAAACTACATACTAACTACATATAACAAAATCGGTGCTCTAGATTATCACTAAGCCTAATCATGTTGAAAAGTAAGACAACGCTCCACTGCCTACTAACCTTCTATCCTAATTCATGATCTCTATGCTCTCATATCTAAGGTTATGTCCTTGATAAGCTGAAGTTTCACCAATATACCTAGTCTAATTACCTATCCTCGATCAATACTGAAGTTGCACCAATATGTCTAGTCTAATTACCTATCCTCGATCAATACTTTCTTCAACTTATCTCTAACTCATCTCGTACCCATTATATCCAACCTTTCATATTTCTTTATTAGGACATCTGCATATTTTATCTTCACATGTCTAAATCATCTTAGTCTTGCTTCGCGTATTTTATCCATTATGAAAGTCACTTCCAACTTATCCCGGATATCCTCATTTTTAATATTATTATCGTGCTCCTAATTTGCCCACAAATTTATTTCAACATTCTCATTTTCATAACTTGTAGTATATTTTAGACATGAGAAGTTCTTGACTAACCAATACTCTTTCCTATAAAAAAAAATCAATCTAACCACTATTTTATGAAATTTATTTTAAAATTTTAATAATACCTTTTTATCACATAAAATTATAAAGACAAACCTTCATTTCATCCTTATTTTTATCTTATTGCTCCTAATTATTATTTGCCAGTAGTAACATCATGTGAATAATATATATAATAATTATGAAAGTAATAACATCATGTGAATATATAAGTGGATTATGTAAACATTATTAACAATAATACATAACAACCACTTAAGTTCTTTTTGGTAGTGTTATGCCAAAGCTCAAAGCCATTAAAATAGGACCACTTGCTCTAGAAACATTTTTTTTTAAATTCTATTCTTTTCGAATTTCACTTTCTGAAACTATATTAAATATATTATTATAATTAATCATTCATTATTAGATATTTACGCTGTATAATACTTATTTAAAGGGAAAACACTTTCTTCTTAAAAAAAATGACGTGATACAAATTTAGATTAATTAGATTTCCAATGTCAACTATCGAATATATAAAACCAAAAAGATAATAAAAAGAAGAAGTCATATTGATGTGATACAGCTCAGCTCCACCACTATAAAATCTGGAATTTAATATTATTATTAGTTCGTTTCAATTTTTTTTAGTTTATTAAGAAAATATTATTTTTTATAATAATTTTTAATTCTAATTTTTCACATCACATATTTAAAATCACGTATTAAAGAATATTTTGAAACATTCATTACTAGAAACAAAGTCTTTACCCACTGCGAATCAGTTGAAAAATTATGCTATACACCATAATTTTCCTACTTATTTTTAATCCAATCAGTTCATTAAAAAAATACATAATGAAAAATAGATTCTTTGAAATAACAAGAAATTTTCTAATTTCTGTACGAAAACACCACTATTTTTCTTTTCTCACAAATCCAATATATAAGAATAGCCATTGAACATTTTTTATAAAAAAATATTTTTTTTAAATTGTGATTCCACATTACTTTAGTTTATGATTATAAAAAACAATTACTCTTTTTAAAAATTTTACTAGTTAAAATTCGACAAACAAATTGAACAGGTATGAATGCACTACTAAAATAATGCCACAAAAAGTTAAAAACAAAATGTACTCTACTGCTACCACATAAAAAGTGTGAAAAAAGTAAAGTTCATTAGAAAAATCCTTCCTATATAAAGGCCACAAATAGGGGCAATAAAGTTTTTTATAGTACAAAAATTAAAATTTTCTCTTCACTAAGCTTTAAAAAAAATTATGAGTTATTTGGGCATTGGAGTGAGTCCTGGGAATGTTCCAGTTCATCATGGAAGTAATTTGAAAGTAATTGATAAAAGAGTAAGAATTATAGAGCTGATTTTGAGGTGTTTAATTTTAGGTTTAGCAATTATTGGTGCTGTTCTTATTGGAACTGATAGTCAAGTTAAAGTTATATTCTCAATCAAGAAAGAAGCCAAGTTCACTGATATGAAAGTTCTTGTGTAAGTAATTTTTTCATTTTTTTTTTTTTGGTATGAAAGATTGTGTTTTTATGGTGAATGAATGATTTTTACTTGTTTTTTTTTTTTTTTTGGTATTTGGTAATTCAAGGAGAAAATATTATTCAATGGTATGTGTTGGAGAAAAATGTCACTTATTAAATATTGAAATATATTTTCTGCCATACCAAACATATATTAAAGGTTAAAGATTTGAACTTTGTTGAAGTTCTTTGTGTAAGTGATGTTTTTTCTTTGTTTTTTGTAGCTTGTGTTTTAAATAAAGGTGTGTTTGGTATGAGAGGAAGTATTTTTCTGGAGAATGAATGGTTTTACTTGTTTTTTTTGTATTTGGTAATTAAGTAGAAGATATTATTCAATGGGTAAATACTATGTTGGTGGAGTTGGGGGTGTGGGGTATGTGTTGGAGGGTAAGATGTCATTTATAAATATCAATTAAATATTGAAAAATATTTTCCTGAAAATGTTTTCTTTTATACCAAACACATCTTAAAGGTTAAAGATTTGAACTTTTGTTGAAGTTCTTGTGTGACTGATGTTTTTTCTCTGTTTTTTTTGTAGTTTGTGTTTTAAATAAAGGTGTGTTTGGTATGAAAGAAAGTATTTTTCTGGAGAATGAATGGTTTTTACTTGTTTTTTTTTTTGGTATTTGGTGAACAAGCTAAAAATAGTATTCAATGGCTAATTACTATGTTGGGTTAAATGTAACTTATAAAATGTTTTTCAAAAAAATTGATCAACCAAATATTGAAAAAATATTTTCTTCCATACCAAACACAATGTAAAGGTTAAAGATTTGAACTTTGTTGAAGTTCTTGTTTAAGTGATGATTTTTCTCTATTTTCTCAGTCTTTTGCTTGTTTTTGTAGCTTGTAGTTTCAAAGATTAATCTTTGAAAAACAAGCTAAAACCAAGCAAAACAAACAGAGAAAATAGAGAAATCATCACTTACACAAGAACTTCAACAAAGTTCAAATCTTTAATCTTTAGGGTGTGTTTGGTATGGAGTAGAACATTTAAAAAAAAAAATATTTTTCAATTTTTCTATGTTTGGTTGTTCAAGTTTTTCAAAAAACAAACATTCACATTAATTATCTCCTCCCAAACGCCCCACCCCACCCTAGCCTCGTAGCCCCATGACCCCATCCCCACTCCACCAACATAGTATTTGCTTAAGTTATATACAAATATCTTCCAATAATATTTTCTGTTTAATTACCAAATACAAGAAGATTTTTTTTTAACTAAAAAAATGTAGTCTGGTGCACTAACCTCTTGTTATGCAAGAGATTTGAGTTAGGCCATACCACAAGCGTCTATTATACACATCATTACCCTGCACTTCTGCAAGAGGCCGTTTCTACGGCTCGAGCCTATGACCTTTTTGATTACATGAGGTCAACTTTACGGTTATGCCATATACAAGAAAATAAATAAAAGAAATTACTTATTTACCAAGAAAACATTCTCATTCATACCAAACACACCCTTAAGATGCGTTTGGTATGAAGGAAAATATTTTTTCAGAAAATAATTGACTATACCATACAAAAATATTAATATATTATGAGTGGGGTGGTGGAGGTGGGAGCTATGCGGGGTGGGGGTGGAATGGAGGATTGGGAGGAGTGGAATGGACTGATGAAATTTGTTTTCTTTACTTTCACCAAGAAAGTATTTTCCTCAGTTTCAAAGAACTTGTTTTTATAGAGAAAATATTTTTCAAAAGTTTTGACAGAGAAATTTGGAAAATGTATTTCTTGATGCCAAAAACACCCGTAAAGGTTAAAGATCTAAACTTTGTTAAAAATTTGAACTTTTCTTTTGCAGATTTTTAGTTATAGCCAATGGAGTAGCTGCTGCTTACTCTCTGATTCAAGTTCTAAGGTGCATTTTCAGTATGATAAGAGGAAGTGTTCTTTTCAACAAGCCCTTGGCTTGGGTTATTTTTTCTGGTGATCAGGTACAAGATATTCGTATTAGTTGTTGCTTCTGAATTTTGATTGATAAAAAAGGTTGATTAATTAACCCTTTTAAAAGTTGAAGTAACCTTTAGACTATGTTGCTCGGACTTTTTAAAAATGTTGATTGGTGCTTGTCGGAATTTTCCAATAGTAGTACATTTTTAGAGGATCCAACCCGGGTGCTGCTGCATTTAAAAACTGATCTGATTCAAATCAGGCATATCCTTTAGCACTTATCATGATGCACCTTATTTTACTCCGTTCTTAGTGTGGTTGGGATTGTTCATTGAGGGAATTATGGATAATATATTTTGTATCATGAACATGTAGCCGGTAACACGCTTATATTGGAGTTCTAATAGGAGCTGGTTCGTTAGTTTTGGTATGATCGTATTTGTCATTCCTAGTGCTTTAGATGCTTTTATCCCCGTTTTGGCACCCGCTTTTGCATTACTTCTCTTATTATCCCAGAAAGCAGTACAAAAGGTCTTGTTGCATCCTTCATTGCATATAAATTGTGGGACAAAACTGTCTGTACCCGTATGGCTAATCTCGGTTTTAGAGTTGGTCAATTCTGCTCTTTATATATGTGCCATTTTTTTTCTGCACACACATATATAGTAACGTTAGGCGCAGCAGGTTCTTTCGGACCTGCAGTGTTTCTAGTATAGATCCGCTGCTGGTCTCTACATAGCAAGAGTCTCGGGAAACATTTTTGAGTAGCTTAAGTAGTGCAATGAGAACCTTATTATACATTCTGAAAACAGGACAATTCTTCTATGTTTTATGACCGTGCTATCTTGACCGCTAAACCCCCTAACCAGCGAAATATGTGAGGCTTTGAATTTTGAAAGGCTGAAGACGGATGATTTGGTGTTGCTGCATATTTTCCATCCAACAATTTCCCCGGAAACAGCCTCTCTACCCCACAAAGGTAGAGGTAAGGTCTCCGTACATCCTACCCTCCCCAGACCCCACTTGTGAGATTACGTGGAATATGTTGTTGTTCAACAATTTCCCCAGAAATGCAGTGATGGGCATTTAATACAGTCTAATGCTGTCTTTTAAGAACAAGTTCTTAGTCTATCAACTCTTGGGACCAATGGTTAAAGCCACTGCCATAAATTGTGACACCAGAAACTGGATGACAACATTAAATGTACTCTGCACTTAAAAGATGAAATGAATGCTCCAGATAAGCTGGTGGCTCTGGCCCAAATTGCTTATGTCTTTTGGATATTATATTGGAAAATCGTTGTATAGTTCATTAACTCATATAAACCTTTAGAAATGTTACACACAACAATGCCTATGCCTAAATCTGAAACCACGTGGGGTCGGCTATATGAATTCTCACCAACCTGACCATGTTTCCTCAACTTCAGAAATGCGACACACCCCTAATACACGGAAAATATATAAAAATCATCCTGTCGTACCTATTGATCCGTCAAATCTTGTATACTATTTTTGTGGTCCAAATTCAACAGTTAGGAAGTTCAATGTTGAATGTTGTTAACCATCTTTAAAGGGTAGTTCAATAAGCTTTAACTAACTTATTTTGGGCATCAAGATGGACACTTTAACTTGGTCTCAATTCTCAATTGACAACTGAACACTCCAACTTTGAGTATACACATCTAGATATTTCTACTCATCTCCGTGTTAGTTGAACACTCCAACTTATAAAATGATCATCTAGAAACCTCCAAAATTTAAAAATTTATGTGCCACATCAGCATCAAGTGTCCACGAGATACATTTTACTAAGTTGGAGTGTTTAGTTGTCAGTGAGATCAAGTTGAGGTGTCTAGATGTGGACTCTCAAAGTTTAAATACTTACTTGCCAACTGAGGTCAAGTTCGAGTATTTGTGTATGTATTATGCACTTTTTACTTTTCATTTGCTATGCAATACTCAAATATACCCTTTTAGCCTTCTAGTGGACTGTAAATATCTAAGTTCAAAAATAGTGTATTTGTAATTTTTTTTTTAATTAACGCCTTCATGAAGAAGTGTGACTAGTAATCTGAAAAGACAAGTTACGTGCTACAACAGATTAAAATACAGTGACATCTTTTTCACGTGCAGTTGATGGCCTACTTGAGTCTGGCTGCAGTGGCGGCAGCAGCGCAGTCTGGAGTAATTTCCAAGTTTGGTCAACCAGAGCTACAATGGATGAAAGTTTGCAATTTGTATGGCAAATTTTGCAACCAAATTGGAGAAGGCATTGCAAGTTCTCTAATAGTTAGCCTTAGCATGATTGCTCTCTCTGGTATTTCAGCATTCAGTCTCTTTCGTTTGTACGGAAACAACGGAGGAAAGAGTAATGCTAGATGATCATCTCTCCGAGCGTTAGTGGACAGAGTTAGTTGCAGGTATCCTTGTAAATTAGTCGAAATATGCAAAAGCTGACCTCGATACCTCGATTATCAAAAGCAAGAAAAAGTAATGCTAGATGATGAGTAGAGTAGTAGTAGCTTAATCTTGAACTTGAAGATGTGTAACTTGGTGGATATTTGGTGTTTTGTACTATGTTGTCTTATGTTGAAACTATTGTATAATTAAATGATTTTGGTTTTTCTTTTGTAAAAATTAAATCAAGACTAATGTTGGTGGAGTTATACTTTACCTTGTTTCTTAATTTTACACGTGTATTCATCGTTAAACAAAGAGTTATAACGTATATATATCGAGTTATATTTTATCTTGTTTCTTAATTTTATACGTGTATTATATAAATAAAGAATTTTAACTTATATAAACTGAGTATATGAGAAATTTTATACTCGTTGTAGTGTTACAAATTGCAACTTACCATATATATACTACATGTAATTAATTGTTAAGTGGCTTGAGTTGATTATGTAAGAAAGACGAGTCAATTGAAAATTATATATTTTTTTAGATTGAATCTCTCTTTTTAAAAAGTCGATTCTCGATCATTCTTCGAAGTTAATTTGAAAATAAAATATTTATTTTGTGACATAAGGCTTCAACTTCAACGAAATTACACCAAATCATTTTCGATAATTGAATCATGGATGAGAAATATGTAGTAATAAAAGGTTGATTGACTTGCCAAATCATAATATTTTCATGTAAACAGAATATACAAAATATGAATTAATTTACTAAAAATCTTACTTCATCAAACACAAAAAGCATTTATCACCATTTTTCGTTTTGTTTGGTTAGAAAAAAAAACTTATTTTTGCAAAGGTTATCTAAAATACTAATTTTCTCCAAAATTTTTCTCTAACTAGTTTTTTCAACCAAACGCCATCGAAATTAAAAAAAATAATGGACTTGATATTTGATATTTATTTTGCCCCTTGATTAATTTGAATTCAAGTCGGAAGTTTTGCGTTACAAATAAAATACTTTTAGATAAAAATGATTCCACTCCATGGCTCAAATACAAAATTTATATTTAATGATGAAAAATTGTTTATCAATCTATTGTATCCGTCGAGGATGGTTCATAACTTAAAATATTCCTAAAGCTATGAAAAGGGACTTGAAGAAAAATAGAAACAAATAAAATAAAAATATTTATCTGAAAAATATAATTTGTAGAGGGAAATACGATTCTAAAAAAAAAATTAAAAAAATCACCCAATGAACTTCACCAAAAAAACCCCAAAATTTTCAGTGTAACATCCAATAATTGTATCAACAAAATACCCAAATTGGGAAATTTTACTGAAAAATTTGTCAAAATCAATTCAGAGTAAATGGGTCGCTCTCGTGGGAATTTTCAAGCTGATGAAGATCCCAGCCAGAGGTTGAATTTTTTTTAAATTTTTTTATCATCTCTATTTTTTACAGTAATTTTTAGCTTATGGGTGTCTTTTAATTTGTATAAACTACTAGTGACTGTTGAATTCTTGGTTTTTCTTCTAGTTTTTGTGGTAATTATTTGAATTTTTAAGTCAGTAGATGAAAGTATCATTAATTGTATGTTTTAAGTACTAATGGGTGTGAAATTGTTTAGGTTTATCTTGTTTTCTTGGTAAAGATTAAATTTTTATTGCTAACATTGAGTAGTCAATTGTATATCTTTGAGTTATAGGTTTCAAACTAGTAATGGGTATTAATTTGGTGGGCTTAGCTTGTTTTTGTGGTAAGATTAGATTTTACTGGTAATGATTAGTCAAATGTTGAGAATTAGCTCTAGTTTGTGCTTATATTGTGCGAGGGTGAGCGTTGGCGCAATGGTAGAGTTTCAATATTAGATTTTTATTCCTAAATTGGTTAGGCAATAGTTGAGAGTGTGTAGGTTTAAATTACTAATGGGTTGGGTTTATCTTGTTTTCTGGTAAAGATTAAATTTTTATTGCTAACATAGAGTAGTCACTTCGTGGCGAGTATCTTCTAGTTATAGGTATTAATTTGTTGAGTTTAACTTTTTTTTGGGGTAAAGACTAGATGGTAAGGATCAGTCAATTGTTGAGAATTAGCTCTATTTTGTGCTTTTATTGTGTGAGGGTTAGCATTGGCGCAATGATAGAGTTGAATTATCAATTTTTTGGGTTTGTCTTCTTTTGGTGGTAGAGACTATTTTATCGGTAATGATTAGTCAATTGTTGAGAAGTTTAGCTCTAGTATATACTTTTATTGTGGGAGGGAGAGCATTGATGCAATGGTAGAGTTGCAATATTAACTAAAAAAAGAGGACAATCCGGTGCACCAAGTTCCTGCTATGTGCGGGTCTGGGGAAGGGACGGACTACAAGGGTATGTTGTACGCCTTACCCTGCATTTCTTACTTCTGTAAGAGACTGTTTCTACAACTCAAACCCGTGATCTCCTGGTCACATGGCAGCGACAACAACTTTACAAGTTGTGATATTAACTTCTTGTGTTGATCTTCTTTTAGTGCTAAAGAGTAGATTTTTATTGGTAATGATTAGGTAATTGTTGAGAATTAGCTCTAGTATGTGCTTTTATGGGGTGAGAGTGAGTATTGGCGCAATGGTCGAGTTGCTCTTCTGTGACCTACAACCTCTTTGCAGAAATGCCAGGGGAAGACTGTGTACAATATATGCTCACCCTTCCTCTACCTTGCGCTAGCTGGGGTACTGATGTCGCATTGGCATTCCCTTTTAATTTATGAGCGAGCTTATTGAATTTTGGCATTATTAATATACCCTTTTCTTTTCTCCAAAGAATAGGACGTACTAATGATAATGATATGTGAGCATTACTTATGAATTTTATGTCTTTAATAGATGGCATTAGAGGAGAGTGGATACTGTCTTTTTTCTTTTCTCAGTTGTTTCTTGCTGATTTCCTGTAGTTTTATTACCCGTTTTGTTTAGATCAAGGAGGAAAAAGAATGCCTCAAGTGGAGACAATTTAGAAACTGTGACCACTGGTAAGTTTCGTCTAACTAGTTTTTAACTATTTAAATTCAGTTCAGTTCTGATTCTTGTGGATGGCAGATTATTATAGTTGATTATCTTTTTTTCTATTCAATTCATTTTAGGTTTTTGAATTTTGCGATCTGGCTAAGGTCTTTTTTCCATTAACTTAGTTTTAGTGGTAGATGAAATCAACGGTTACTAAAGTTTAAACAGGATCCTATTTCCCTTTTCATTTTTGAAATGACAATCCATGTCCTTTCACCAGAGAAGGATAAAATTCCTAAAGTGCAGATTTTTCTGGATGTGTACCTTCAGAATGATGTCATTGTAGCTCAACTTTTTATAGACCAATTTGTTAGAGCTGTTTCTTGCAAGCATGAATTTCTTTTAGAGCCCCAACTTTTTCGGTATAAACATATGGCAACAACCTTTAAATTACTAAATAAAGCATGACAACAGTTATTTTAGGTTCCAAACATAATTTTGAAATATTTGTATATCATTTGCATGAGCCATAACTTACTTGTGGAGTCTTTCAAATTTGCAACCACTCCTCGTATCTTGACATAATGCTGTTGATTACTCAGGTCAAGGGACAGCTGATGGCAAAAGGGCCTTGTATCACTGCAATTATTGCAACAAAGACATTAGTGGGAGAACTCGTATAAAATGTGCTGTATGTTCCGATTTTGACCTATGTATAGAGTGCTTCTCTGTTGGTGCTGAGGTGCATCCTCACAAAGGCCATCACCACTATAGGGTTATGGTTAGTTCTTTCGTTCTTCTTTATTTTTAAATTGATAAGTATGGTAGTATGGTTAGTTCTTTCTTCAAGCTCATATCAGTAGTAATACATATGAAAAACTTCACTTGACAAAAGAAAAAAAAAGTGCACTACAGCATGGACATGATGTTGTTGTTAACTCATGATTTTTAGAAGCTTATTTTGTGTTTTTTAATGTTTCCTCTCATCTGTTTGGGAGCTAATATTTTAGCACTAGGTATCAAAATTGGTGCATTGTTCTATTGACCTTCTTAGTGTCTTTGAACAGGACATCTTAGCTTTCCCGCTTATTTGCCCAGACTGGAATGCTGATGAAGAGATGTTGCTTCTTGAGGTGTTATTTTGAGAACCCTCTTTTTTGGACACCTCGTGTCTTCTTTATTACTGAATTTGACTTTTTACTTTTCCCATTAAGTAATCATAACGCCAATACCCCTTTTTCTTATTGTCTTGGTTCCTTGAATTTGCTATGCCTAGGGAATTGAGATGTATGGCATGGGTAATTGGGCTGAAGTAGGTGAGCATGTAGGAACAAAGACAAAAGAAGCCTGCATTGACCATTTTAAGGCCGCATACTTAGAGTCACCTTACTTTCCTCTACCGGTAAGAAACTTATCAGAAATATTTTGCAAGTTTAATTCTTTTGACTCACCATTTCACCTGCATTTTTCCTTTTCCATTTCCAGGATATGACTCACGTCATGGGGAAAAACAGAATGGAACTCATTGCCATGGCTAAAGGGAATTTTGCAGATAAGAAAGGTTAGGACCGTAATTCTCAATTCTGATTTCTCTAGTTACTTTCCGTGGTTGTTCATCTTGAGAGCCTGATCTTCTACCATTAGAATAACAAAATGATGCTCGGTGCAACATAAGTAATGGTCTTGAGATCAAATTTTTTGCAGTTACATATCTCGTTAAATAACTAACAGTGGCCTGTGAAATGATTCTATCTGTACTAAATGTAGAAGTGTTTTGTCTATCTTCTTTATTGTACTAATAAAAATATCTATTAATTAAAAGCTAAATAAATAGGAACAATAGTAACTCTTGGAAATCTCTTTATGAATGTATCTAATATATGGTATATATATCAAAGCATCACTTATTACTACTTCTGTAGATGATAGTTGTGTTACTTCTCTTTTACAATAAATTGATATTTGTGGTCAAATATGGAATTTAAATTGATAGTTAATTACTTAAATCGTTATTAATATAAGACACCCCAAAACTCTCCATTCACTAAAAACTAAATGTACAATTTGTTTTTATTGATAGTTTCGGTCTTTACTTTCGTTGTATAATCCGCTGCACCTTCTGGATTTTGCGTATGAGTTCCAGTGTGGATTTTGTAATCTACTGCGTCTTCTGGATTCTTTGTTTTCAATAAAATCTTGAATACTTTATGAAGAAAATTATGACAGAAAAAATCAAGTCTAAATTACAAAAAGCTAACGTCAAAGG